GTGTATATTTGTAGCTTGCAGTGTCTCTCTCCCCGTGGTCACGTGGATCTTTCTCGGGGTCCTCCGGTTTTTCCCTCCACATTTAGAAGCACGCGCTTAAGAGTATTTGGCTGCTGTAAATGTCCACACGATAAGCCACTTTCGTTGAGGCCAGGTCGCTCCTGAAAAAAAGAGGTGTTTCGCTCAGTGGGCCTTACGCAGTAAATTAAAACATATCCGAATAGCTTTAGGCCTTAATAGAACGTCCGCGTAGCCCTGCCATCTGTGGCCCACTGCTCTTGCACGACTCGGCGGCAAAAACGAAAGAGCTCATGCGCTTGATATTGCCGAGGCCCACGATAAGATCTCTCACTCGGTACACCTTCCTTAAAGCTCCCCCATCATTTAGTATGCAGCCCGATCTTTTGCTCCGTCGATTTACTTTTTTATTTTATTTACCCAGCTCGTTATTTTTCTTTGCCACTTCCCTCTCGTCCGTCGTTCCCCATTGCCGCGCATGCAGACGTATCCGTATCTTGGGTGCCATATCTATTTAGATGCCTTCCTAACAAACGACCGTGTCCCCAATCCTACGCCGCTGACACTATAGCCCAGATAAATTCACGAGCAGAAAATGAGTGAGGTCTGCTCTTTGTGGGGCCCTCTTTTTGCGTAACACATTTCCCACCTCTGGGTGACCCTGGACATTCGAGCAAGGAGGTCAGCTGTTGCATGAGCTTTATTGGCCGAAACGTCGCCGATTATATTATATATATTGTTGTTTCTGTTCAAGGCAGTGTTATTGACGAATGTGTTGAGTTTTTGTTGTTGTTGTTGTGCCATTATTGTTTGTGCTTTGCGCACCACTTCCAAAGCAGCCGCAGCACCAGCACCGTCAATTAAATTATCGGTGGTAGCCAAATTCGCACAATATCTTAAAGTATGTTGAGCGGTTGCGCGATTGATGACGACGACGATGTAGCCTCCATGCGTGCACAAGACGGCAATGGGGCAACGCACACCCCCTTCTGCAAGATCGCGGAAAAGTAGGCACGACATTTGCACATTTGAGTTTAACACGTAGTAGTAGTAGGCCTCTCACGACCAATATTATCCGTAAGAGGTTTTTTGGGTTAGAGCGGGTAAATACCTCTATTATTTTTGTACATTTTGGGTGAGGGACACGACAAAGCGGGGGGGGGGGGGTGGTGGGGGGTTGGGGAGACACACAGATTCCCAGTTCGCAGGTATTTCTGTGATTTTTTTAGTTTTTTGGGAACTGGGAATCGGTGGGCGCGACGCGTCCTCCTGCCTTGTTCAGAGCTACTGCGGGGGCCACGATTGGCACGCGCCGCCGAATCGCGTCTCCACTCGTGGCCACTGTGAAAACATACCCTCCTGCTGCGTCGGAACGTCGACCGCCGGAGAGGCATCGCGAATCGAGCGTAACGCAAACCCCAATGTGACGCGGCCGAATGGCTAGCGGAATAACGGCGCTAAAAAGTGGCTTTTTAATTGGACGGCAATGGTTGTGCGTGTCGTGTAACACAATGCTGTGACAAGAACTGCACTCCAGAGAACAATTCCTACCTGTCAAGTAAACGTGCACCGTTGGGTCAATGTCGGTTTTTAAACGTTGGCCCAACGTTCCATGTTTACTGGGTCAACATCAAAGTCAAGGTTAAAAGTGATTTTCGGATGGAATGATCGTTGAGGTTTGTTTTTTCAGCCACGAGTCACTGTTGGAAAGTCCCCATTCCTATGGCGGGGGTATGAGTCTCTCCGTAGGATTTTAGCCACCGTTGACTTTTCTCGCAAAAAATGGTGCTTATTTTATCGACCCCCCCCCCTCCCCGCCTCCCCGGTGAGGGATGATGGGGCCGAGTCCCGGAGTGCAGCGGCACAAGGGAAGAATCAGGGAAGTGTTGTTGTGGATGAGACGGAGCGGTGATCAACGTGGGTGGAGGAATGGACGAGTGAAGCCCCATGGCGACGGTCGTGATAGGAGAGTGAAACGGAGGCAGAGGTCGCAAACGGGTTTTTATTCCTTACCCGTACCCGGCCGCACCAGGGTCGCAAACGGGTACCCATACCCTACCCTACCCAATACCCGGCTACCCGTACCCGGCCGGGTATCGGGTAGGTTACGGGTACCCGATTGCGACCTCTGGGATGAAGCCATGTTGCAGGCGCGGGTGGGTTGATTCTAGGAACTTGAATTGTGAGAAGAGACAAGACGTTGGGAAATGAGTGACAAACGGTTACTCACCAGTGACTCACGGCCCACCTGTACCCATACCCGGCCGTACCAGGGTCACAAACGGGTACCCGTACCCGGCCGGGTACGGGTAGCCGGGTATCGGGTAGGGTACGGGTATCAGGTACCCGATTGCGACCTCCGTAACGGAGGTGACCGATCACCACGGAGCGAGTGACTCCTCTGGGGTGGATCGGTCAGTGCTGGATCATCAGTCACCCTGGCTGACTGCTTTCTTGAGTTGAATTCTATCCGGTGCAGCAGTGAGGTATGGAACGAAGTGCTCCACCACAGATATGGAAAGCATGCACGTACGCACTTGTGTGTGACGTTGAGCTTCTTTCGCACCGCACGTAGCCAACCGTGCTAGTCGGAGGTGCGGGGGAAGGACAACAAACTGAAGCAGCAGGATTCCCATCTTCGGCCGAATTTGTGCTTTGTACAGAAACTGTAATAACTGTTCCGAGTTCAAGACGAAGGCTTTGGCAAAGAAAAAAAAATCAAATCAAGCTTCTTCCGACGCCTCCTATGCTGGATATTGTAAAAAAAAAAAACACTTAAGACATTTAATTCTAGATTTGAAGCTTTCGTGACTGCAATGATTCATACTCTTAGTTCTTTCGGCAAATCTGGCTGTGACGGTCCCGCCTGATGACGGAGACTTGTGTTGCCTCCGAAACGTCGTGATTTTATTATTATTTTTTTCTTAATTTTTATTTCATTTTTACCTATGTGACTTTACCGAAAGAACTAAGAGTGCTTAAGACATTTCGCAATAGAATGTGACAAGACACCGCTCGGGATGAAGAGGTGGTCGCATCGAAGAGGGCGGATTGGCGAGAGGATCTAGCGGCGACGAGGAGGCCGCGGGTGGCCATCGGTGGCGCGACGCCTATGGTGGCTCGTCACCCCGACAACCGACAGAATTTCAAAACTCAGGTATTTAAAAAAAAAGAAAAACTCTTTACCCGGTGTTGCGACGTCACGGGAAGTGTACCGCACATCTGTGAAAAAGAGCTTCACAGCTCATCGGATTCCTCCAGTATAAAAGATTATGATTCTGACGAGTGGCGGCGTTCAAAATGCCACCGCCTGCCGTGAAATGTGCGCGGCTGCCGCACGCGTGCGCGTGACGTCACAGCGACGTCATTGTGACATCGGTGCCATTACCGTGACGTCACAGTGCACAAAGACGCGTGTAGCTGCCGCTTCACCAGTGTGCTGTTTGTTCCATAGACGCATATTTAGTTTCTATAACTCTTGTTAAATTCATCAGCATGCGTGTTAAGGTGTATATATATTTCTCAGTATGTATGTTGAACTTCTTTCGCACCGTACGTAGCCAACTGTGCTAATCGGAGGTGCGACTGAGTCACAGAGACTCTTTTGCAGGAAGCTCCTGCTGCTGCATTGAGTTTTTTTTAAAGACGGTTTTCAGCCAATTATTGACGAGTTGTGTTTATCATCATTATTATTATTATACAAGTGTGAAAGAAACCGGAGCACCCAGAGAAAACCCACGCCTTGTGCGACGGGGTCATACTCGATCCCCATACAGATGATAATAGATGGCGATGAATCCACTTGCTGTACTGCCTTCTGATGGCGAGCCAGAATATGGCAATTTGAGGCCCACAGGAAGGGAGTTTCACGACGTTTGCACGATCCACAAACCCTCGCCTTGACAGTGCTGGATTACAGGCGCTGTAGATTCCTGAAGCTTTCAAGGACTGGAGAGTTTATGAGTTCAGCTGCAATCTCACTGGGCAGCCTGTCACAGCAATCTGTTAGCTGGGTTAGATGCTCTGTTGATTCCCTTACTCTGTGCCCTTATTTTCTGTGCCTAGTCTCTCCAGATCGCTTGTGTTTTCACCATCACTACCTTTCACTCCTGCCCCAGTCCAATTATGCCCCTTGCCCTACCCACTTCCTCCCCTTGCCCCACCCACTTCCTCCCCTTGCCCCACCCACATCCTCCCTTTGCCCCACCCACTTCCTCCCCTTGCCCCACCCACTTCCTCTCTTTGCCCCACCCACTTCCTCCCTTTGCCCCACCCACTTCCTCCCTTTGCCCCACCCACTTTCCCCTTTGCCCCACCCACTTCCTCCCCTTGCCCCACCCACTTCCCCCTTTGCCCCACCCACTTCCTCCCCTTGCCCCACCCACTTTCCCCTTTGCCCAACCCACTTCCTCCCCTTGCCCCACCCACTTTCCCCTTTGCCCAACCCACTTCCTCCCCTTGCCCCACCCACTTCCTCCCTTTGCCCAACCCACTTTTTCCCCTTGTCCCACCCACTTTCCCCTTTGCCCCACCCACTTACCCCCTTGCCCCACCCACTTACCCCCTTGCCCCACCCACTTCCTCCCCTTGCCCCACCCACTTTGCCCCACCCACTTACCCTCTTGCCTCACCCACTTCCTCCCCTTTCCCCACTCACTTCCCAGAAGCCTTGCCATACCGACTTCCCCCCCCCCCATTTGCCCCATTCACTTCCTCCACTAGCCCCACCCACTTCCTCCCTTTGCCCAACCCACTTCCCTTGCCCCACCCACTTTCCCATTTGCCCCACCCACTTACCCCGTTGCCTCACCCACTCCCCCCCTTCGCCCCACCCACTTCCTCCCTTTGCCCCACCCACTTCCTCCCCTTGCCCCACCCACTTCCCCTTTGCCCCACCCACTTACCCCCTTGCCCCACCCACTTACCCCCTTGCCTCACCCACTCCCCCCCTTCGCCCCACCCACTCCCCCCCTCTTCCCCCACCCACTTCCACCGGGCGTTCCCCTGTAATATGATTGAATTCCACCTCCCCTTGCATGCCGGTACCACGTGTTCGTGCACTGCCAATCGCTCCTCAAATCCTGCTTTGTGAAGAGTCATAGGTCATTGGTCACCCCACCAAGCTGAGGAGTTCCACACAGGCGTGTACAGATTTGGTGTGAAATGTCCCACTGTAAAAATATCAAATTCACCAAAAAGGTATTCTGATATGGCTGCACATGTGGTGGTGTGTGCAGACATCCGCACGCTAGTATAGCGAGGTCCTCGATATTCCCTGATTGTGAAATAAAATAATCTGTCGATGCACAATGACACCTTCTTTGCCGCTGTGACTGGTAAACACGCGCCACGATTGCCGTACATACCTCGCATAAATAACTTAAATTACACACGTATGAATACATGAATGCATACACGAATTGGGCTTACTTAGGAGAAAACTCGTGCACTGGTGATATAAGTGCACTGCACACAGGTAGTACACCTTTACGTAACTTCATTCCAGAAAAATATCTTCAACCGGGCAGTTGTAATCCATGCAGTCGTGGTAAAACTGCTGAAAAGCTTTCCTGCAACACAAAGCAAAGACAAGCACACAATTAAGTCTTTGGCGATACAAGTGATGAACAATTTCAACGTGCAACACTGTGCCGCCACCGCCGCACAACGCTCGCTCGCGTAGAGAGCGGACGACTCAGAGATGCCAGGAGGAGCCACAGAAGAGCGGGGGGGGGCGCTACAGGGTAAGCCGGCTCTGAATACCTCCCCAAATCCCTGGTGCCCTCCGTATAATGAGAAGGTGTAATCTGCGCGGGTAGAAAACCCACGCGTGCGAGGGAGCAACGCTCGATACCGTACCCGTGGAACAAGTGGAGTCGCACGTTTTTTTTTTTAAATCTCCCCTCCCCGAGCGAGCCAGGGTGTGGGCTCGTCCTCGACGCTCGCGGGAAAGGGAGTTTCACAACATCGGTGTGCAGCGGTGGTCCACCAACCCCACCCCCACCTCGCTGCTGCTGCCTCCATCCACAGTGCCGGATCACAGACAGCCACGTGCAGCAAAGCCACCACCGATCAGCCCCGTTCTCTCTCTTACGACGCGCGCAATTAACAATTCCACCGCTGGAACGGTTTTTTTTTTTTACGAAGAGAGAAAACATTAAACTGTTAGAATACTCGATTTAAAGCTTTCGTGACTGCAGGGATTCATCTTCTTGGTTCTTTCGGTAAAGTCACGTAGAAGGGAAATAATAAAATAATAAAATTCCTCTTGATATGCAAATTATTTTGTCAAGGCGCCCTTCCCCCCTTCCAACCCAGCTTAAATATACGCTCCAAGCGTGGTGGTGTTTCATTCAGACGCTGTCTCCCCGACAGACCTGGTCTTCACCTGAGGACGGCTGCTTGCGTTGTGGCCGAAACGTTCTGAGAATTATTTTATTGTTTTATTTTTTTATTTTATTATTTACCTTCTACGTGACTTTACCGAAAGAACCAAGAAGATGTTAGAATACTACGCAGAAATAGGCGCCGTGAGTATTTTTAAATCCTTTATATTAAGTTCACTTGCTTGCTTGCTTGCGCGCTTACGACCGTGCAAATCTTTCGGTCGTATTTTAACCCACTTCTCGTGATCCAATCGAGCTGACATTTTGCACACAGACTCGATGTGCGTGACAATTTATTTTCGTGAAAAAATGTTTCCAAAATTTTCCACTTTTTAGGAATTTTTTTCTTCATATTTCATTTAAAATACCAATGTGATAAAAATGAAACTCTTACTCAAGAAAAACAGAAATGAATAATAAAATAAAACCGATGCCAAGCATATAAAGGATTTATAGTGAAAAACTTTGTTTTTTACGGGTGAATTTTTTCCGAGTTAAAATGTTGAGGCATGGGCTGCCGCCTTAACAAAATAGCACCGCCTCGTGTCGTCAAGGGGCATTAACATTCACAAGGCTCGTCTGAGCAAAGAGACACGACGACGCGTTGACATTTAACAGCACGTGGCAGCTGTTCCTCTGGGAGTTCTTGACAATATTACAGAGAGACGTTTAGAGTGATTTACACTGAAGGACTGCATGGAAATACAAGCGTATGAAAAATAAGAATCGGGTTTTACTCCTTCTCGCAATAAAACGGGAGGTGTTAAGATGTTCGGACACCAAATAGATATCCTTTTGCAAGGAATCAAGTCCGCATTAACCACGCGTGCTTGTGGTAAACATACACACTCTGATAGTGTATATGCATTGTCTGTGAAAGTGGCCTACATCAGAGACTACAGCCTTGTTCTGTATGGCGTTGTCTCACCCACCAGTGTCAGAACAGACATCAACGCCAAAAGGTGAACAGCCCAAAGACAAAGCACGTGTCAGAGCATTGATATAATCGGGTGAACAACTATATCATGGGACCTGTTTGCCAATGATCAAAGTATGAAAAAATAAGAATAAGTTTAACCATTTCTGGCAGTTAAACAGGTGTTAAGACGTTCAAACACCAAATAGATACCAATTGCAAGGAATCACGTTTGCATTAACCACACAGAGTACTTGTCGTGAACATGCAACCAAACTCTGGTAATATATGCATTGTCTTTGAAACCGCTACATGAACCTATTATTTTTCATACTCTCATACGGGCAAAATGGTCCGATGATAAATACAAGCGTCTTCAACGTTTGTAAACAAGCACACGGTTTAAGGGCGCTTGATACATTGAAATAACTATTAACGTAACAACACAATGCTGAACGGCTTTTATTTACTGCAATTTAATAAATCTTATTTTCTTTTCCTTATCAAACATAACATTGAGACCATTCACATCAATGGTGAAGACCCCGGGGCCAGCCCCAGGACATGCTGGCGGGGACGATGTCGCTCGGCTGGCCTGGGAACGCCTGGGAATTCTCCAGGAAGAGCTGGAGTCTGTGTATAGTAGTGTATAGTGTAGTGTAGTAGTGTATAGTGTAGTAGTGTATAGTGTAGTATAATATAGTAGTGTGTAGTGTAGTAGTGTAGAGTAATGTACAGTAGTGTATAGCAGTGTAGTGTATAGTAGTGTATAGTGTAGTGTATAGTGTAGTAGTGTATAGTGTAGTGTATAGTAGTGTATAGTGTAGTGTAGTAGTGTATAGTAGTGTATAGTGTAGTAGTGTATAGTAGTGTATAATGTAGTAGTGTAAAGTAGTGTAGTGTATAGTGTAGTGTAGTTGTGTATAGTAGTGTATAGTGTAGTGTATAGTGTAGTGTCTAGTAGTGTATAGTGTAGTGTACAGTAGTGTATAGTAGTACATGGTGTAGTGTATAGTGTAGTGTATAGTATAGTAGTGTATAGTGTAGTATAATGTGGTAGTGTAGTGTAGTAGTGTATAGTAATGTACAGTAGTGTATAGTGTAGTGTAGTAGTGTATAGTGTAGTGTGTAGTAGTGTACTGTATAGTAGTGTATAGTGTAGTAGTGTAAAGTAGTGTAGTGTATAGTGTAGTAGTGTATAGTGTAGTAGTGTATAGTAGTGTATAGTAGTGTACTGTATAGTGTACTGTATAGTAGTGTATAGTGTAGTAGTGTAAAGTAGTGTAGTGTATAGTATAGTAGTGTATAGTGTAATGTATAGTAGTGTAGTATATAGTGTAGTATAGCGCTGCTGGATTCCAGGTGACCACGTTCGAAGCCCCTTCCGCAGCCGATGACTGCCCCAGGTCGCCCTCGCAAACGAGACCCATCCTTTGCCTCTCGACGTTTCACCCCTTGCAACTCACCGAACTCCGATGAGAGGCCTGCGACGCAGAGTGCAGTGTGTATGTCTCTTACCCGAAGCACTCTGCGATGGGCTTGGTAGACTGAGTGGAGAGGAGCACGTGGCAGGCAAACCTGCCGTCCGTTGGGTGCTTGCAGATGAACCCAAAGTAGCTGCGCAAGAAACGCACACAAAGCATGCGGTACACGTTCAATTCCTTTGCGCGCATTTTTCCCAGCGATCAATCGAAAGACGACCGCGTGATTAATTTCATCAATCACGTGTCAGCCGGTAGCATTCTCTTTAACAATCATCCTTGAAATGTGTGGCACTTCGCAATCGTCTCGTGCCAATATTCCGCGTTCAGCTTCGCAACGAAAAACTGACGCCAACCACTCCACGTTTTGGCCTCTGACACATGAAAGGATTCCCCCCCCCCTACGCGGTTTCCCTGGAAATTGACAAGCAGCAATGCCAACACAAAAGATAAAGATCCCCCCCCCCCATAGCCCTTACAGACTGTTGGGGCAAGTGCTGTTAGAGAGTAACACCTATGAGGGTTGGCACAGCACATGAGGTGGGTGGGTGGCCAGCATAACGCCCGGTCGCCTTTGTCTCCCGAGTGGCCATGTTTACACATTGGCGCTCATTTGAGCCTTAGCCGACTTAGGGGATGCCCAGCACCGGTTCAAATAATCATCAGCGGTGTTGGCCGTGAAAGCCCTCTATCACAATCTAGATATTGTCAGGGCTATGCATGTGCACACGTACACCTGCTTACCATGGGTTTTTGGGGTGGAAACCACAGAAAGAAATATTCTTCAGCTGGAAAAAGTGGCTGAAGTTCTTGATCTGCAAGGGACACGCACGCCGCGTGAGTCTATCGCGTGCAAGCAAAACACCAACAATGTTTGGGGTCGGATCGCCGCGCGAGTATAAAATGTCGCGTCGTGCACCCCTCCTCCACCCCGACACGGCCGGCGAATGAAGTCGTCAAGCGGCGAACGAATGAGCGAACGCGGCCTATTTAACGCGTCGCAAGGCTTTCGCGACCGGTATTTATTCGTTATGCTCTCAACGCACGTCGATTCTAAATGTGGAGGGGAAAACCGGAGGACCCAGATTAAAATACATGCGACCACCGAAAGAGAGAGACACGCAAACTGCAAATATACAGCAGCAGGCGTCAGGGTCGGGATCGAACCCACGATCTTCTGTAGACCAGGCGAGGTAGTCAACATCTCACCACGGAGAGAGAGAGACACGCAAACTCCAAATATACAGCAGCAGGTCTCAGGGTTGGGATTGAACCCACGACCTCCTGTATACCGGTCGAGGTAGTTAACATCTCCTAGCCACCGTGGTGGCGACCGCCTGTGTTCGATGACGATGATCACCGCACCGAGACAGCCTCCCTGCCGTTCGCCGTGAGCGATGAAATCGAGCCGCTACTTGGCCACGCTGCGCGCCGCGTCGAGGTGAAGGACCGCCGGGCGTCCTTTTACCGGCTTGTGTTTGTGGAAGCCGTTGCGCTGCGGGGCCGGCGCGTGCCGGGCGCCGGTCACCGTGAGGCGGAGCCCTCGCGCGCCCACCTCCAACGAACACGGCAACGTCGGCTTGAGTCCGGCGACCGCGCGACGGCTGGAAGCCACCTGGCGGTCGTCAGAGAGAGGTCCAAAACGGGAGGCCACAAGATACGACGTTGGTAGCAACCGGCATGCCATAGGGTGGGTTTTTGGAATGTTAACGATGGGAGTATTTTCTTCTTCTTGGTTCTTTCGGTAAAGTCACGTAGATGGGAAGTAATAAAATAATAAAAATAAAACTACATAAAATAATTCTCACGACGTTTCGGCCACAACGCAAGCAGCCGTCATCAGGTGAAGAACATGTCTGTCATTCAGACTCTGTCTTCTCGACAGACCTGTTCTCCACCTGAGGACGGCTGCTTGCGTTGTGGCCGAAACGTCGTGAGAATTATTTTATGATGTTTTATTTTTATAATTTTATTACTTCCCTTCTACGTGACTTTACCGAAAGAACCAAGAAGATGAATCCCTGCAGTCACGAAAGTTTTAAATCGAAATTTATTTTTATTATTTTATTATTTACATTCTACGTGACTTTACCGAAAGAACCAAAAAGATGAATTCCTGCAGTCACGAAAGCTTTAAATCGATGGGAGTTTTGTTACAAACTATTTATTTTACCGGGTAAGGCCCACTGAGCTGAATAGCAGCTCGTTTTCAGAAGGCGCCTGGCTATCACAAGTGATATCTCGACGGAGTGGATTGTCACGTGGAAATGTAGAGCAGGCGAGTACTCTGAGCGCGTGTCGATGATAAATGTGGATGGAAAAACCGGAGGACCCGGAGGAAAATCCACCCGACCACTGGATTATATATACACAGCAGCAGGCAACAGGGTCGGGATTGAACCCACGTCCTCCTGCACATCGGGCGAGGGAGTTAACATCTCACCACCGTGGCGAGAATTGGAGTAAGGCAGCAGACACAATAGACACGAATGATGTTGCCAATCTCCCTTGATGATGAAAGGTAGCAAAAAAATAGCGCTCTACAGTCTACATAATGACAATAATATTCTCGTGCTTTTATTGACACTCCAATGCTTCGGCAACCCAAGGCGCCCGACATCGCATCTCGTCTCCGACAATCCGGTGGGCATCCCCAGTGGCAGCTGCCCCTGTGCGGCGACAAATGTGACTCGACAGCTGGCCTGCAAGTGGGAATCATTCTACCAGCAGGGAGCCATTATGCTGTGTGTCATCCCCATTGAGTAACCTTGCACGGGTATTCGTTGAATTTGGCAAATTCGTTTGCAGGATGCCAGCCCACCCTGGCCTATTCAGTACGAATCAGAGGTCGCAACCGGGTACCCGATACCCGTACCCTACCCGATACCCGGCTACCCGTACCCGGCCGGGTACGGGTACCTGTTTGCGACCCGATACGGGTACGGGTAGGCCGTGAGTCACCGGTGAGTAACAGTTTGTCACTCATTTCGGGTAGGGTACGGGTACGGGTAGGGAACGGGTAGCCATACCCGGCCGGGTACGGGTACCCGTTTGCGACCCTGGTGCGGCCGGGTATGGGTACGGGTAAGGAATCAAAACCCGTTTGCGACCTCTGGTACGAATGATGTCACGTGATCTTCAACGTTCACCGTAAAGCAGACGGCGTGGGCGTGTATCCATGGCGACTACAACCGCTACATCTACAACCAAATATGCAAATCAATTAGTTTTGAGATCAGGTTTACATAAGAGTGTGAGAAACATATCGATAATGCCAATGACGACAAGGGAGAGACCAACGATGACGAACATTCACCTTCTGCATGGCTGCATAGAGGACGTCGTTGCCCTGGTGATGAGGAACCTCCACCGAGCCCAGGAATTGGAGGTCAAAGATCTCAAACCAATCCCTCCGCTTCTTATGAGCTGGGAGGCCACACACAAACACGGCTCAATTACACACACGGTTCAATTACACACACGGCTCAAATACACACACACACAGCTCAAATACACACACGGCTCAATTACACACACACAGCTCAATTACACACACACACACACAGCTCAATCACACACACACACACGACTAAATCACACACACATACACACACGGCTCAATTACACACACACATCTCAAATACACACACACACAGGGCTCAATTACACACACACGGCTCAATAACACACACACACGACTCAGTTATACACACACTACAGCGCAAGCCACAGCATAACAACCACTGCTGCAGTGTCGCTAATATCTCCAAAGAAATACAAAATAAAAATCCCCTTATCTCATTTTTAAGGAGCGCCTTCACTCAACGCGCTTAACAATAGTTTAAAAAAAACCCGGTTGCATCGTTAAAACAATTTGGATGGCAGGTGGCGTGCTTCAAGGGCCGGGGAAACGGGTGACAGTCCTAGAGGGGAACTTGGGGATCACGGAAGGGCAGGGGAGGGACGGAGTGGAGAGGGCGAGGGAAGAGGAAGGGAATGGGCGTCGGAGAAGAGGTGAGGCTTTAAGAAAGGAAAGGAAGGAGGTGAAGGAGGGAGAATACTTCATGTACAGGGGCAGTGTTGAGTCTATGGGCAGTGCTGAGTCTATGGGCAGTGTTGAGTCTATGGGCAGTGTTGAGTCTGTGGGTAGTGTTGAGTCTGTGGGCAGTGTTGAGTCTATGGGCAGTGTTGAGTCTATGGGTAGTGTTGAGTCTACGGGCAGTGTTGAGTCTATGGGTAGTGTTGAGTCTACGGGCAGTGTTGAGTCTATGGGTAGTGTTGAGTCTACGGGCAGTGTTGAGTCTATGGGTAGTGTTGAGTCTGTGGGTAGTGTTGAGTCTGTGGGCAGTGTTGAGTCTATGGGTAGTGTTGAGTCTATGGGCAGTGTTGAGTCTATGGGTAGTGTTGAGTCTACGGGCAGTGTTGAGTCTATGGGTAGTGTTGAGTCTGTGGGTAGTGTTGAGTCTGTGGGCAGTGTTGAGTCTATGGGTAGTGTTGAGTCTACGGGCAGTGTTGAGTCTATGGGCAGTGTTGAGTCTATGGGTAGTGTTTGAGTCTGTGGGTAGTGTTGAGTCTGTG